TTTGAGCTGAAGCTTCTTTTTGCCATTTAATGCATATCATTTTGTTGTTATGAGCATTAAGTGTGCATTTTTTCAGTGGATACAAAAACACAATCCATGTTTTATCTCACGTGTTCACGCATCTTTCTCTCCCTACATACATGTAATCAGTAGTGATTAGTGAAGAGTAGGAGGAACACGCAAGATTGCTTTTATCATCATCATCATCATCATGCAGGGGGAAATATTGTCTATACTCACAGTTTTCACAATTTTCAGAGGTTAAAAATAGAATAAGGGGCTAAAGCGGAATAAATGGAACATGGAGGGGGAAAAGAAAGTGCAGCACTACATTTACCATCAATTTGAAATTAAAATTTGAGTAGCCGTGAATGACAAGGACTAGAATAGTTGAGTATTATCTTCATCTCGGACATTGATGGCAAGTGCTTTTGCTGAAGTTTGAGTTTAGGGTGACACATCGAAGCCTCCATATCTTGACGTGCTTGTGTTCATAATTGGATTGGCCTACCTAATTAGCCAATATCATGTAATATGTAAGTTAAACAGGTGAAATAGATGGCACCTATATACTACCTCCGGTCCTTAATATAAGACCCCGTTTGACTTTTAGTTTGGTCTTAATTATAAGACCCCAATCCATTTTGTCTCTCATATTTATGCATTTTTTCCCAAGATAGTCCTTCTAATAATAATAGTTCTAACCAACACACTTAATTAGCAAGGATATTTTAGGAATGACAACACTTATTTGTTACAAATAACTAACTTAACTTACTTCTTTAGTCTCCTCAAATTAGTCAACTGGGTCTTATAATTAGGACCGGAGGTAGTATATTTCTTTACGTTCTAAATTTTATTCTGTACAAGGTTTGCCTATAATTCCAAAATGTGCATGAATACAACCCAGATTTATTTGAATACAACCCAGATTTATTTGAATTCTTTAACACTGCCAAGGAGCAGAGGAAAAATTCACATGAAACACATAGAAATTGACTAGCTATGAAGAAAACCAAAATACTTACTGTTATAAAATTAATTGTACATTTACATCCAGAATTATACTATCGACTAAGTCCTTTGAAAAGAAATCTTTATATAACAACAAACTAAAAGACAATCAGAATCTATTTTAAAAAAGGAAAAGGAGAGAATAAAATCACATATATCAAAATGTAACCATTCTATTCCTTTAAAAGATAGTAATGAAGGCTGTGAAAGATGATAGATGCTAGTTGCATCACATTCAATTCAAAACATCACGAATTTTAACTACATCACGGAGCTCAATGGATACAATACATGTATAGACAATATTTAGTTACTGAAAATTTGAGGAATGATGACAGCCAGAAAAGTTTGCAGTATCCTTCAAAACACATCTCCAAACTTGCAACAAGTCATCATTGAACTTTTGCTCATGTTGAGCAAATGCATCTGCATATGATCCTTTTTGATGCCTAACATGTGATGGATCTATGTTATAAAAAGCTAGAATTACAATCTGATTGTTGACTCGCTTGCATTCTATGATTTTCACTAGCTCTTCTAAGCACCACTTTGAAGAAGCATAGTCTTTTGAGAATATCATTGGCACAATTCTTTATCTTTCTATTGCTTCCAATAGTGCGGATGATATTTCATCAACCTTTCATCAACACACACACCTATCCCCTTTTGTCACAATTGCCCTGTCAAATGGCTAAGAAATCCATGTCTAATGTCTGAACCTCTAAAACTAATAAAAACATCATATTTTTCTTGTCCAATTTGGGAAGTAGCAGCAAAAGCAGCCTTTGCTGGACATAAACAAAAAGCGAAGAGCTTACATTTCTCAAAGACACTTTTTCCAAGCTCAAGAAGCGAAGGTGAAGGCAGGCTTCACAGGAGAAAAAGAATCAATTAAATTGCTATTATGTGAGTTTTGTTAAAAAAATTAACCACAAATGTTATTTGGGTAGCCCATCCGGCCGGTTTGTTCAAAATGAACACCGATGCCAGCATCACCTGGAACAGAACAAAAATAAAGGCAGGAACAAGCGGCAGATATGGTGTTGGTGGTGTTTTACAGGACTCACAAGGCGTCAGGACTTCAGGTGATGTGGGACTCTTCATCCCACCGCTCTTCACCCTCCCCTGCAACCAAGGCTCTGATACCATATTAGGTCCTGAGTCCAACCCAAAAGCTGACTGTGTGGTGCAACTGTGGCTCTGGTTGCGGTAGGATGAACCTGAAATTTCAGTTTACTGAACTAATCTTGACCGTATAATAAACAAACGGCTCAGATCTAAAGATATATGAAAGTAATTTACATTGGTCTAAATTGTAAGGACCTTAGTTTTAAAAGTTCAACCTTCACCTATCGCAGGGAAAAGTCATGTTATTTGTCATGTCGTTCCTTACCTTTTGTTTTTTTATCCTGCTTTGTTTTCTTCTCCTAGTTAAAAATGCCATCCGTGGCCAAAACGATCTATGAATTGGCCAAAGCTTGCTCAGGAAAAAAACAATACGACTGTGTGCTCGAGCTTTTTAAATTTAGAGGATATGCAACAAGCGAAGAGCTTACATTTCTCAAAGACACTTTTTCCAAGCTCAAGAAGCGAGGGTGAAGGCAGGCTCCACAGGAGAAAAAGAATCAATTGAGTTGCTGTTATGTGAGTTTTGTTAAAAAAATTAACCACAAATGTTATTTGGGTAGCCCCTCCGGCCGGTTTGTTCAAAATGAACATTGATGCCAGCATCACCTGGAACAGAACAAAAATAAAGGCAGGAACAAGCGGCAGATATGGTGTTGGTGGTGTTTTACAGGACTCACAAAGCGTCAGGACTTCAGGTGATGTGGGACTCTTCATCCCACCGCTCTTCACCCTCCCTTGCAACCAAGGCTCTGATACCATATTGGGTCCTGAGTCCAACCAAAAAGCTGACTGTGTGGTGCAACTGTGGCTCTGGTTGCGGTAGGATGAACCTGAAATTTCAGTTTTGCTAAACTAATCTTGACCGTATAATAAACAAAGGGCTCAGATCTACGACAAATGTTGTATGGCATCATTTCTCAGCATGAAACAAGCCAGACGCCTGTTTTTCCGTATTCTACCCACTTAAGGCCGATTGTACAACGTAATTTCTCTCTAGCCCTCTCTAGCGCGCTCAATCGTTTTAATCTGTCTTTTCTTCGTCTTAACACTCCCTGATTTTCAATTTCCCTCTCCTTCTAATGCCAATCTCTCCAGTCTTCTCAAATATTTGGTTTTTCTTCCCCTGAAATGCTAGGGTTCTAATAATTTGATTTTATCTTTCTCTGCTGTTACTGTTTACGGTCTTGCTCCAACGAGCCCTAGATTGATTGGTGATCCAATACACTATTCTGTTTTAAAGCATTATGTGGAGACGACATTTGAAGTTGGTTATTTACCCTCCAGTTATAAGACTGGGGAGCTGACTGATACCTCTGCTTAAAGTGGCACTACTCTGAATGTTCAATCCGGTAATGATTAGTTCACATTGGAGGCTTTCTAAACTTCATATTCGCTCTGTAGATTTTTGGATTTGAATTGAACTATTAAGAGTGATAATTTTGCACTTGGAAATTGTTTGAATTTCGGGTGCTTTAGATTAGTGGATCTGATTTAAAATTGAATTTAGTATTTTCTGTTCTACTTTAGAGTCTTGGAAAGGGGGAAGCCAGCCAAGATAGCTTTTGACAAAAGCAGAGGTACTATTCAAAGCATTATTTTGATTAGGGATGAATTTTACTTTATGAGTTATTGAGATGCATATGAATAGCTTCTAGGATGCTCTTAGATGTTTTGACGAACAATCATGAAATCTGCGCTGAAATACATTTGTAATTTCACAGCTGAAATAAGCTCAAAAGCTTAAATAGAAAAGAAAAATTGAGCTTAACTTAGCTATCAGCATAGGCACTTAAAATCTTGTCTGTTCTATTGCATTGGTGTTGCAAGAGGGGCAAGTGATTCGAATGATTTACAAATATAAACTGGATTTTTTTCCTCTGTGTGATGTGCAGGATAGATAATAATTTGTGGGAATATGACTTATTTGAAAGAAAAAGATTGAAAAATGTTAGAGGAGAAAACAAAATCAATAATAAAAAAATGTAACTGTTGCAGTGTGAAAAGTAAAAGAGAGAACTGTTAAGAAATAAAGGATAAGGAGAGAAAAACCAAATAAAAAATTTAAAAGAAAAATGCTTTCGTTGTTATTCTGGTCTAGTGGACTTTTATACATCTTAATTAAGGTTCCATTAAAGTAGAATGATGAAGACAATCACAGATATAATTTGGTGTTATGAATATGCTTTCTTTATTGATGTGCCTTTGACTCTTTAGCTGGTGGTTTTTATGCACCGAACTTGTCATAGCCCTGATGTATACGTATGAAAGGTTGGTTAGTAATTTTTGAATTATTGTAGCCCAACAATAGGAGGAGCCTATATTTGAGCTTTTTTTAACCAAAATTTCATAATTTAAATTATTTAAAGGCCTTAAAAAAATGTGGAGAATAATTATTTGAGGATTGGAGTGAATTAACGGGAATAGTTACTTTTGAGAAATGGAAGTTCTAAGTTCAAATTAATTTTTGGGCTTAGAAAAGATTATTATTATTATTTTCCCAAAAAAACAAAGTGAAATTATACGGGGCCATATTGAATCCAATAAATGTAAGAAGAATTATAATATGAAAGGGAGTTTTTTGTTAAAAAAAAGAAATATGACAATTTTCTTGATTAGGAATTTCCCAATCAATTAATTATCGAATTTCTTTCTAATTTGGTCAAGGAGAACACCAAAATATTGTCTCAGATAAAAGAGTGATAGGAGCCCATTTTGGGCCCAATTTGAAGGAAAGTGGCGCCACTTTTGTGACCAGCTTGGGAGGATGTTATTATTATTATTCTTACTGGGCTTTGGTTTTAGGCTTTTAGCTAGCAGAGGATTAGGAAAAAAAAATTAAGAGAAGAAAGAGAGAAAGGGAAAAGAAATTTCTGGAACAAGGGGGGCTTGCGGGATATAAAAATTCACCGGCGATATACAAGGGGGCCATCCGTTGCTCTGCCCTCCTCGCCCTTCTTTCACTCATCCCTCATCTCCCTTGATTGCTGCCTCTTCCTCCTTTCTGCATCATCAACTCGTCTCCTTCATTTTCTGTTTTGTATATCATGGTGGTGCATGCTATCCCGTGGTTTAAGCAAGAAATTGGGAATACGGTTTAATGGAAGTTGGTGGTGGGGGTGTCCGATTGGAGTAGGTAAATATTCTTTGCATGTTTTGGTTTCTTTTCAAATTATGATTTCTCTCCGTTGCAAGTTGGGTCTGGTTAACGAATTGAGGCAGAAAATTTTGTGGGGTTGATGGGTTAGTGGAGATTTGTGCGATTGGTGGTCTATGGACTGCCATGATTTTTATTTAATTTTGTACTGAATGCATGCACCCAAGGTGTTTGACGAATTGTATGATGGATAGAAATGATTTATTGTGAGGTATAACGGTGAAGAGTGTGTACTAAATTGAACCAGAGGCAAGTATTCTCTATAATAATAAAGCGCTTTGGTTGATAAAGGAATGTATGAATTGAATCGGTTTAAAGTTTGATTAAAGTTTGAGTTCATGAAAGGGATGATGGGACACTCATGGCTGACAAAATGCTTCGCCAAAAAGGGAAAGTAGAAGATGTTATATTTCAAACTCATGGCATTCGGTTACCTAGCTAATATTTAAGAGTGATGAAAATCAATCGTTATTCGAATTTGTAACTTTAGTATTTGTAGAAAAAAAAGGTGGGGGGTTAAGATTCAAGTTCTCTTACTATATTAAATTGTTGCAAATTGAGGATTAAGATGGTGTATCTTGGCTGCCAAAATCATTGTGTTAAATGGCTTATGCGGCTTGTTATTGTTCACGATTGTAAGAGTAAAGAATGAGGATTATCTTGAAGTATAATGAAAGTGTGAATAGCATCCCATAAATAGGTTTTTATAAATGATATTTTCTTAATTGTTTTATTGTTATCTAGTTACCCCCTTATTTTCCAAGTATTGGTTCATCAAAGCAACTTCATTTCATTTGTACCATTATTCGTTTTTATTTGTTCGATATTGTAAATTTCTTTTCTTTTCATCTTGAAATGCTCTTGCTTGAGTTATTATTCCTCCAAAAAAAAAAAAAGATTTTTGTTTGTTGATGGAATTTGAGGAAAATATTTGTGATTTTATGAACTTTCATGCTAGGGTCTTTTGTTATGAAATATCCTTTTTACACGTGTTCAATGATAGAAAAGATTCCTGTTTACTGATGATAAATTGGCTCCATGCATGCTTGAAAATGATTTTTGTGAGGACTGAATACAGAACGCTGGTTGTTAGCAGTAGTACTATTAGCCCTTGGCATGCCATGGTAATATCGAGCTCGCTTGTTATTCATGGCTTCGGCTACGCTTGTTATTCGTGGCTTCGTTTTATCTTATTCTTATTAATGGGATGTGTTTCACTAGTAAAATTTATTTCATTCTTAGATAGCACCGCTAACCTTACACCTTCAACTGAATAGGGAAGGAAAAAAAAAAAAAAAAACTCTCATTACTGATCAAAGCTTAAAACAACTGCTAATTGATGTAAAACTAAGTTTCATTTATGTAATTATTTATTTATGGGTTTTAGATCCTTCACATAATCGATAGGCAAACTTTTGATTGTATTTATTATTATAAATATATGAATATATGATCGTATTGTTGTTGAGGGGGGCTCCTTATTTTGGGTTGTGCCTGCAAGTTATTTGCAAAGTTCTACTAATGGCCTTATATTTTGATTACAAGAGATCTATTCTATATGAATGGTATTGTAATTATTATGGCAAGTGTTTATTCATATGTTTTAAGGCTTTAGGAATATGAGTTCTCTCATATTCTGTGCCAGTCACTCCTAAAATTTTGGGGTGTGACAGAACTAGATATATATCTGAGAGATTGAAAATTTCATTGCTGTTGCCATTTGTATTTTGTATATCTTAGTGAAGTTTTCTATGTCCACTCAGGTACTGTGGTAGTGAGATTATTGCGAACAAACTTTATGCCTCTTTTGTGGCTGGCGCAGCACATGTGGACGTGTGACACGGGAGTTTTGTGAGTGAAGAGGATCTGACTTTTGCCACTATAATTATGGACTCTTCCTTTCTCATGGGTAGTACAATTCCAGAGCCTCGTGATGATATGGAATTTGAATCACATGAAGCTGCCTATGCATTTTATAAGGAATATGCTAAGTCTGTGGGGTTTGGCACTGCCAAGTTGAGCAGTCGTCGGTCTAGAGCATCAAAAGAATTTATTGATGCCAAGTTTTCATGTATAAGATATGGAAATAAACAGCAATCTGATGATGCTATCAATCCACGCCCATCTCCAAAAATTGGTTGTAAAGCAAGTATGCATGTGAAAAGAAAACAAGATGGCAAGTGGTATGTCTATAGCTTTGTGAAAGAGCATAATCATGAGCTTTTACCTGCTCAGGCTCATTTTTTCAGGAGTCATAGGAGTAGTGATCCGCTTGGTAATGATGTCCGGATGCGAAGGCGGAAGAATTTAACTGCAGTTTCCAAATTATTTAATGCATATCAAAGTGTCGATTGTTTAGAGCACTTTTTGAGAACTCTACAGGATAAGGGACGGAGTTTGGTTCTAGAAACTGGGCAAGCCCAATTGCTTCTTGAACTCTTTATGCACATGCAGGAAGAAAATCCAAAATTCTTCTACGCCGTTGATTTGAATGAAGAGCATAGACTGAGAAATGTGTTCTGGGTTGATGCCAAAGGTGTGGAAGATTATACTTACTTTGGTGATGTGGTTTCTTTTGACACAACATATTTCACCAGCAAGTATAAAATACCGTTGGTGCTTTTTATTGGAGTAAACCATCATATTCAACCCACATTGCTTGGTTGTGCATTGATTGCTGATGAAACCAATTACACTTTTGCTTGGTTATTGCAAACATGGTTAATTGCAATGGGGGGACGAGCTCCACAAGTGATTCTTACTGATCAAAATGAGGCCATGAAAACAGCTGTTGCTGCAGTTCTTCCAGGTACACGTCATTGTTTTTGTTTGTGGCATATTTTGGAAAAGATACCGAGGCAGCTTGAATTTTTAGGTGCATGGCATCATAATTTTATGGAAAAATTAAACAAATGTATATATAAATCATGGACAGAGGAACAATTTGAAAGGAGATGGTGGAAGTTGGTTGATAAGTTTAATTTGAGAGATGTTGAATGGGTCCAATCCTTGTACAATGATCGGACGCGTTGGGTGCCAACTTTTATGAAAGAGATCTCTTTTGTTGGACTGTCCGCTAGTTCTCGTGCAGAAAGTTTGAGTGCTTTGTTTGACAACTATGTCCAGTGTGATACTTCATTGGGAGAATTTATAGAGCGGTACAGAATGGTTCTTGAAGAAAGGTATGAAGAAGAAGCCAAAGCAAATTTTGATGCCTGGCATGAGACACCTGAATTAAAGTCTCCTTCTCCTTTCGAGAAACAAATGTTATTTGTTTACACGCACGAGATTTTTAAGAAGTTCCAAGTTGAAGTTCTGGGCGCAGCTGCTTGCCATCTTAAAATGGAAAATGATGGTGTCACTGCAACATATACTGTGAAGGACTTTGAAGATGATCAAAGTTATGTGGTAGAGTGGAACAAATCTAATTCAGATATATGTTGCTCATGCCGCTCATTTGAATATAAAGGTTACGTTTGTAGACATGCTATTGTCGTTCTACAAATGTCAGGGGTTTTCAGTATACCACCCAAGTATGTGTTGCAACGATTGACAAATGCTGCTAAGAGCAAGCATCCTATCAGTGAAAGATTAGAGGAGGTGCAATCTAAGGTCCGACGGCTCAATGATTTATGCAGGCGAGCCATAATATTTGGTGAAGAAGGTTCTTTGTCCCAAGAAAGTTACTACATTGCTTTAGGTGCCATAAAGGAAGCCTTAAAGCAATGCACAAACATGAACTCTGTTGAGAATGATGCGAGGCTTGATGCCCTAGTTACTCAAGTTTGCAATATTGAAGAGGAGCATCAATCTGGTAATGCTTATAACAAGAAAGTTCCTGGGATGGCTACTGGTAATAAGGCTGCAAGGACTGGTGGGGCTGCTAGGGAAGTAGGAAGTACAGAAAATACCGAAGGAAATAAAGGGAAGGTCAGTGAGTTTATGGATACGTGATTGATCTTTGTTCTTTTTTTTATTTTAAATTATTTATGAGTTATCCTTCTTTATCTAATAGGTATCTCAACTAGAAGCAGTGGGCAGCCAAGGTGGTTTTCACCAAATGGTATGCCATTTCCTTACGTCCTTTTATTTTTTTCCCCCAAAAAAAAAAAAAATACAAACAAAGAAATGTGCCCTTGCCTTTACTTTTGGCTTCGATGGTGTATGGTGCAAAAATATGTGCGTCAAATTTCACGAGATGTGTGTTTGTGCGTGTGATTTGTGATATTGAGCGGCTGGCAAGTCAGTATTAGCATATTATCTTGCTAAGGTTGATATTTTAGAGCTTTTGATCGTGATATGTTGTTACTAGGTAATTGTGCAGTTGTGATTATCATCTTATATGCAATCTCCATTCTCTATTCATCTTCTGACTACATTCAACGTATCTCTATTCATGATTACGTTAATTTATTATCTTGACATTTCGTTGGATACGATGAAGCATGAATTTGGAATGACTGTACGTATGTGTTGTAACAGGAATTGACAGATATGAGGCAGCATAATGTCATGCCTATGCAGTTTCACAGTATGGTGCCTCTGTTCCATACTGCATCAACACAGTATCACAACGCAGCTTCAACTCACTTGCATGAGAACTGCCTTCCTCGTTAGCCGAATGATGATAATAGTTTTTTTTTTACCAGAAGATGATAATAGTTTACTTTGTAAAGAATCTAAGATTTTGTATAGAATTTTACGGAAAAGAATGTTTTGACAGTAACGTATTAGGACTGCTTCTGGAAGGTACAATCTGTAAAGGATAGGAATAATTAATACAGGTATGTTTCAATCTTGGTTCTCGTTTAAGAGTCCATTTAGAATAGTTTATAAGTAGCTTATAAACTGTTTTTCAATAATGATTTACAGAATACGAAGTAAGCATGTGAGAGAAATTTTGTCTCGGTTTACGTGAAACTAGTTTATAGGGGATTTTTATTGCTCTGCCAAATGAGGCCTTAAGTTGGTAGCTCTTACATCAGCGTATATGGTTATATAAAATCTTAATATAGAAAATGAAGGGGTGAACATGACAATGGGACGAGTCTAAATATTGTGGACTGCATATTGCTTCATTTTCACTTATCTTTGGTTTTTTTTTTCCTTTTATTTTTTTGTTAATTTGAATAAAAGGGGTGGCAAAATCCAAAAGAGTCAAAGAAAGATTGAAAAATAACTTGAACCAATGCTGATTGGAAGACTTATTATTACGAAGTCTCAAGAACAAAATATAATTACTAAAAAAGTCTAAGAATAAGTAGAAAGTATGAACTTGATATTTTTCACATTAAAAATAGAACTTATTATTATATGCTGCTGAGTTTAGAGGTATATTTAGGTTGTTTTGAATACTTTATAGATTGGGTTGTTTTTTAGGCTGAATGGTGTGCTATAAATAAATATGAAAAAATTACTATAAGGTTTTAAGAAAAAAAAATATGATGATTAAGAAAAAAGGAGTCAACCTTTTAAAGATTTATGTTATTAATATATTTTTAATAAAAAAATTAAAAAAATTCAAAATGAAGTTCAAAATCTTTTTATATCTTGAAATTAAAATGGTAGAAAATGAATATATAGATTGAAATAAAAACTACTACCTCTGGTCTTTAATATAAGACTTTGTTTGACTTTTATTTTGGTCCTAAATATAAGACCCTAATCCACTTTGTCTCTCATATTTATGTAATTTTTTTCAAGATAGTCCTTCTAATAATGGTAGATATTATCAATACACTTGATTAACAAAAATATTTTAAGAAACATAACATATATTTATTATAAATAACTAATTTAATTTATTTTTTTTATCTCTTCAAATTAGTCAACTAATTTTTATTATTAGGAGCAAAGTAGTAAAAAGTAAAGTCTACTGAATTATTATAATTTAGTTGTCTTGTCAGTACTGTGCGGGACGCAAAGGCGCAATAATCTTTTTCTCCCAAAGAAGTTATTCCATACCTCAAGTTGTTAAAATTTCCTCATAAAAAAAAAGTGGTTAAAATTTTAATTTGAAAATATAGTTATTTTGAAATCTTGAATATATATAATCAATTTAAAAATATTTTTGAAGTAATTTTACCATACTTTTTAAAAATGGCCAAATTCTTCTAAAATTTCATATTATATATATTAAAGTTTAATAAATAATTTAACATTTAAAAATTTTTACTTTTAAAGTTCTTAAAATTATTACCTCTAGACTTAACTTAGCACGAGTTTTGTTTAGTACATATGTAGCACTAGAATGGAAAATGAATTATATTACTCCTGGTTATGGATTATTCTTAATTCTTTTATTAAATTAAAATATTTATATTATACATGGAAGAAATAAATATACAGAGCCCTGCTTTATACACCGACATAGATAATGATGACCCTGATTTTTTTGCCCCGTTTATCTTTAACATTTTATCCACACTGAGACGCAGGTTGCCTAGAAATGCGATCCTGCTGATTTCGTTGAACTCAAGGCCAACAAGCCCAAGAGGGAATAATCCATTGGTCAACTCAAATTACTTTCCCTGCATCTCAAACACCATGGCAATGTGCTCGAGCTTCTGTCCTCAAATTTCACACTACTTCAGGGGAAGAGTCATCTGTCCCTTCTCCATTTCATCACCAAATTCTGTATCTTTCAGAGCTTTTTCTTCTCAGATATCCAATGCTTCAGCACAAGGTACTCAATTCATGCTGCCCCTGCAATTTCATGATGGCCATGCCTTCTGCTTTCTTTTTTAAAGTTTAAAATGATAAAATTAACCCACATTGATAATGTGCTGAACTTGTAAACCTTATTTTCAGTTTTGTAAATAACAGGGTTTAGATAACAGTTATGACAAGATCAAAAATTGCAGTAATTGTCTGAACTCTGAAGCTATAGAACTGAATGTGCTATGGCTGCTGGCTTATTTTTACTTCATGTAGTGGCATTTTCAAGTTAACTTCGACTCTGACTTAAAGTCATCATGTAATTTATGAACTTCGAAGCAGAAATTTTGACTTCTCAGGACCATCTCTCCCTTTCAAGGAAGAGCAACTCCTCAACTTGTTGGCAAAAAGAAACCGTTTAAAGATTTGTGTTCATTCTATATGCACGAATTTCCTAATTGTGACATGAGGAACTGAAAATGGTGTATCAGATCCACATCGTATTCTAGCAATACTGAAGCAGATATATACAGCTAAAATACCAGTACGCACTCTGCCGATATGCTTTCCTATCCACTCAACCAAACTATTATTTTCTGCTTTCAGTAAATGAGGCACCACGTGTTGGCTTTTTAGGCATCGGAATTATGGGCTCTCCAATGGCACAAAATCTGATAAAAGCTGGGTATGGATCAACATAACTTCTTGATTGTGTCTGCAGGAATAGTTATCATGCAACAAAAGATAAAGTTGAAATATTACTGAAAGAGTAAAGTTAGTCTGCATCATGCAACTTTTTCCGGGTTGCTGTAGAAGTGTGTGTTTACGTTGTTGAATTAATAGTGGGGTACTTATCCAAATTCTTGTTTGGTATATGTCACTGTTCTGGCTAATCGTTTGTGTTGACATTAATTTCTCTTAAAACTATTTAGATTGAATAGAGGTGACAGTGACAAGTCAATCACAAGCTTAAGCAGTCGTGCATTTCCTCAGTGTTTTATTGATTCACTTGATTTTGCGCTGCAGATGTGACCTGACTGTTTGGAATAGGACCAAGAGTAAATGTGATCCGTTAATTAGCTTGGGAGCAAAGTAAGTTTTTGATACATAGGTTCCCATATAAATGCTTCTTTTCCATATGACATTATGATAAAATTTCCAAACCATTACAATTAGCAAATGCGTATCATGGATTGGATGAGGCATTGAGGTTCTTTTTCTATGCGTATCATGGATTGGATGAGGCATTGAGGTTCTTTTTCTAAGGCTCTGGTATTAGTTTGGAACATAGACATGGCTTATATAGTGCGCATACACGCTTGTTTGTGCATGACAATAACTGTATCTCTGCTGTTGACATAGAGAACAGAAAGTATTCATCCGTTTTCACTTTCTGTCACCAGAAGTTCTGAAAGTATCCTCGTTTAACTGACATACTGTTAGGGGTAGTAGTAGATAAACTTGTTCAGCTTTCTGAACTTATCTGGCAGGAAGGATGTGTCTTTAATGCTCATGATTCTTTTACTTGAGAATAAATATGACTCAACTGGATATCTCAACTATGTTTCACATGAGGTTTTTCTGCAGATATAAATCATCTCCTGAGGAAGTAGCTGCATCTTGTGATGTCACGTTTGCTATGCTTGCTGATCCTCAGAGTGCTGTACGTATATTCCAGCTTTGCTTACTTGATATCCATTTGTATGTCAGCTCTCAACTCTTATCTTTACCCCATTCCAGGTGGATGTTGCTTGTGGAAAACACGGGGCTGCCAATGGATTGGGTCCAGGAAAAGGGTGCAATGTGCAAATTCAAACTTTTTTCAGTATTTTTCTACAATTTGACACATAGTATCATTTGAAAAGATTATTGACCCTTTTGCATATCAAACAGAGCAATTCTTTTCTTGTTTGGAGATGGCATGCTACATATGCAATCCATATGCTTAACTGCTTATTTATTTTTCAAAAAAGTGTTGAAGATGCATTATGTACCAACTAATGGGGTTTGCTGCATTTTTCTTCTGTAGTCTGACAAACTGCTTGGTACCATGTGTTTATATTTCAGATATGTAGATGTTTCAACAGTTGATGGGACAACGTCTAAATTGATTAGCGGGAATGTCAAGTCTACTGGAGCATTATTTTTGGAGGTGCAGTGCGTTATAATTTCCCTACAAATACTCCATGATACTTAATTGGTGGGATTAGGATATGCATCATTTCGCAATTTTGTAAGGCAAATGACGTTACCTACTAAGTCATTTCCTGGTATCTGCAGGCTCCAGTTTCAGGTTCCAAGAAGCCTGCGGAAGATGGACAATTGATATTTCTGACAGCAGGTAAAGTTCTGTATCTTCATCAATCAGTTAAATAAATTTTCATGGGAGAAAATTTTCCAGAAGTTTTTCAACTTTTACCAGAAAGGAAGTTCACTGGGATGTGCAATACAAAATTAAATCAATAACTGGCAACTGCAGATGCTTGAAATTTCCTTTAGCAAGTTATAATATCATCCACTGGCTGAATTTTCTTTTCATATCACCATCCTTATTGGTGCAATTAAGAGAAAACATAACATCCTGACGGCATTCAGATTGTGTTTTGTTAACTAGCCAATGTGACCTAACCAGCTCCACAATATATATGATGTTTCAGGTGATAAAGATCTTTATGAAACAGTTTCTTCTTTCTTGGACATAATGGGGAAAGTATGTAGTCCTTTTACTTTTCATTTTTCCTCGCTTCATGCTGAGTAAGATGGTTCATTGATTCCTATCTAATTATGTTTTATGCCTCTACGCAGTCAAGATTTTACCTAGGAGATGTTGGAAATGGAGCTGCAATGAAACTTGTTGTCAATATGATTATGGGCAGGTCTTGTAACAGTTGGTTGCTTACTATCTGATGTGATTTATCCTTACATAAATGACTGAGGAAATGATATTTCTATCTATGTTTTTCCACTGATCACAGTATGATGGCATCCTTTTCTGAAGGATTACTTCTCTCAGAGAAAGTTGGGCTGGATCCTAAAATACTAGTGGAGGTATTTACTACATGAAATTTCAAAACCGTAGTCTATGAAAAGCTTTGACGAATTCCAAATTGATTACATTTATTCTTGTCCTTTATATTTTCCGTGGGATAATTTAATGAATGGGCCTAATCTTAATGTAAACGGACTCTGAGGTAAGTGGGCCAGCTCTTTTATCAAACGGGCTTAGGAGAAGTGGGTGGCTAAGATAGCCATCTCCGAAGGCAAGGGAAAGGAGGGTATATAGATGGAGAAAAGAGCTTCCCGGAGTGTGTGAAGAATATTGAGAACCTTTTCCTTCTGATAACTCTTGAGTTTTCTCTCTGTCTGTGGCTTCCCTCTCCTTTTCTGCGATTATTTTGCTGTTCTATTGTGGGGTGAAGTCGTATTGCATCTGTTAGGGCGTGCCTTGATAATATTGTTAGAGATATTCGGTAACTTTGGTGTGCTTCTTCATATTCTCTGTGATTGGTTAGAGGAACCATGTTAGATAGTAACAATTCTATAAAACCTTTATGTTCTTTGCACATGGTATGTTTTTTACTCTCTGTATTCATGTTCTAGAAGGACTGCTTGCCCATAGCTTGACCTGTCTTTCTTTCTTCCTTCTTTTCTAATCTCATGATTCTTCTCTGTTTGTCATTGATAAAAAAAGTACGTATTTTGTTCGCACTAAAAGGTAAACATTCTGTAGCAGCTTTACGAATGGTGATATTGCAGGTTGTTTCACAGGGTGCCATTAGTGCACCAATGTACTCAACCAAGGGCCCATCCATGATTCAGTCACTTTATCCAACTGCTTTCCCCCTAAAGCATCAGCAGAAGGTATCCACAAGCTGTAATTTTGAAATTACACTGGACCAGTCAATTTAACTGATAAAAACCAGCAAGCTTACAGGCTCGGTCTTCAAGGTTAACCAATAAGAGTTCAAAATAAATTAAAAGAAAGATAATCAAAGATTAAAATATTGCAATCTGGACTATGTACCACAAATCCAAAGAACCCCTAGTCTTCATTTTCCTAGTTTGATTTTTGAAAAACTAATAGAAACTCCTAGTTTTGCCAACTTGCTGAGAACTACTGGAGTTATTCTCTAAAACTAAATTAATGGTGGCAGGATATCAGGCTTGCCCTAGGTTTAGCAGAATCTGTGTCACAATCTACTCCAATTGCTGCGGCTGCTAATGAGTTATATAAAGTGGCAAAATCCCATGGCCTTGGGGATCAGGACTTCTCTGCAGTCATTGAAGCATTAAAAGCCAAACTGCAGAATTCATCCAATGAGTGATCACTGCTTCTTTTAATGACACAGGTTTACTAGTAATGCAGCTCCAACAATGAACCTTCTCTGTTTTCCGCTCCTTTCTGTTTCAGAAAAAAATGGCTGAATTGATATTTGAGCTTTGAAATTTCCTTGTGGCTTTTCTGAGGCCGACCTTTCTTCTTGTTACAGCTAATCTACACTGAGACTGAGGATGACGTTGGTGCCATGAAGTTTTCTGTTTCATTGTAGAGTTGATGAGCATAAATGATGAATCCCCTCTATTCTTCTTCTTCTTCTTCTCAGATCTTAACCTTCTCTTATATAGTAGAAAATCTACTCGAATTGCCATTTTTCATTGAAGGGATTTGATTATGAATCAGGCTAACTTAAATAACATGTGAAACAACAAAGGACTCTCTTGAAAATTTTAAACTGGAGGGACTAAATTGAAACGACGTCCAAACTAAAGAACTACATTGTTTATTTCACACATTCATGCAAATTTATATTTATATTTAATGTACTTCGTATCAAATATCAATAAAAAGAGCCCTGATTAATTAATGGTTTTTCTGACTGTAAGTTTGTGCCATTTTTAATTAACTTAAGGTATCATTTGGTGCGAAACATTACAAATGAGGGACAGGAACTGAGATTATTATTGAGAAAAATCATGAAAAAAGTATTTAGTATAAATAATTGTTTGTTATATGGGATTGGACAAACCTATATATGTAGAATTGGGCAATATCATGGGAGGAGATTATATTCCTTAATTCTACTTTTATGGGTTTGTCTAATCATATGTAATAAGTAATGTCTCCTACTAAATACTTTTATAATAGATTTTCTTAATCCTAATTACACTTTCTATCCTTTATTCTCAATATTTCGTATCAAACGGGACCTAATGGTTTAATGAAGTTTACTACAAGATTTTAGAAGTTAAAATAATGAACATGAAACAAAATAAAATTAAAAGACTAAAATGAATTTGACATCCAAGTTAAAACTAAAAATTATATATTTTTCCAGTTTGAAATATCATGAATACGGATAACAATATAAAAATTATAAAGATTAAGTTGTGGTGAATCAAAATTCAAAAATGAAGTTTTAACTTAATCAAAACTACAAAAATTAAGCTACATTAGTCAAAATTACAGATTAATTTTTCATATAGTAAATAATATTATCTTTAGTCCTAACTATAAGATCCCGTTACAAATGGGATATTATAATTAGGACTAGAGTTAGTATTGTTTTTATTCTCACTTGTACTTTACCATTTGACTCATTGCACACAAACTTACCATAATGGGGTATTTTAATCAATCAATCATCAATTATATTCTTGAAAACTTGTAATACCCGATTCGCTTAAAACGGGTCGGGTATGATATTATAAGATCTGAATATATTCAATTAATAATAAGATTTGAATAATATTTTAATTGAGATTTGGGTATATTGAATTAAATGAAGAGTATCATTATTAAATGGGATTTTAATGGAGGTTCAAATGAAGAAATTAATAATTAATTTTGAATTTTAATAATATCTTAATTGGGATTTGAATATATTAAATTAAATAAGAAGTATCATAAATAATATGTCAATTGGGGTTTAAATGGAGATATAAATAATTAATTTTAAATTTTCATATGTTTCCCCTAAATTCCACATTTTTAATTCAAATACAATTTGAAGGAATAAAAAAAACACACTTCTATAAAAAAAAAATCTTAAACTATTTTAAATAATACAATTTATTAAAATTTAAAATTAAATTAAATATTTTAGTCCGTGCATCACGGAGAAATTTCTAGTTTTAATTGAAAAAATGTAATCATACGGATATTCACCAAATTACAGAGAAATTAGGTTTTTTAATTTCGGCCAGAATTAGGTTAATTAAACGTGCTTTTCTGAAACAAGAAAAATAGTTAGAATCAATCAACTTTCCAAGGTGGCCACATCACCGTTACTTAGTACAACTGACACAACCACTTCCTCGGTGTTCTATTGGTCCGTGTTCACACGCGCTTTATTCGCACGTGCAGCAGATTAAACACAGACGCACAGCCTGCCACACTGCCGCACAAGTTACACCCTCCTCGTGTCGTCACTTTCTCGCTTATATATTCTCTCTTGAATCAGATTTCCCTCCTCTCTTACTTTTTCTCTAGCTTTTTCCTTTTCCTCTCTCTTTTCGCTTTTCCTCCTCCATCTGATTTTTTTCATCTTCCAAACAATCTCATTAACAATGAGTGATGAGGCTTCCAAAAACGATACTGTAGGCGTCCCCGAAGCTGAGGCCGATCTTCCCGCTGCCGCAGCCGGTAATTTCAATCGGAACCCTTAATTCTTTGTGCCGTCATGTTTTTATCACTACTCGTATCTTTCGTGTTCGTAATTTGTTGTTATATGAATCTTTCATATGATATTAGGATGAATTCTTCATCTTCTGCCTGCTGGAAGTTAATTTCTTCTTCTTCTTCTTTTTCCCTGCTGTTCGTTTACTTATCACCTTCCGTATAGTCTGCGTTCTATTAAAAACCGAGAATATAACGTCATCAGTACTGCTACTGATAGAAGAATATGCCGTAAATTCAAAAACGTTTGTTTTTTGTCTGTAGCTCTGAGTCCCGAGGATCGTGCCGATCTGGTTAATGCGCTCAAGGTAAGTTTATATCGATATCCCAGTCCTTTTCTATTAAAAAAGATGAAGTTTTACTGAGGGCCGCTTTCTTGGTTGGTAGAACTAATACACTGTAACTTTTACTTTCTGGTTGTGGGATGCTGATACTGTTGGCAAATTTTATCTCGAATGTTTTATTCGGTACTCTTTTCCCTGTCCTCGTTATTGGGAAGAAAGAAAAGTGGAGTCTGTAGATTTTTGGAATGAAAATAAATATCTACGCAAGCTAACTTTCTCATAATGATATTTTCAAAACCAAAGTTTTGTATCAAGATATACTTATCAGGAGTTTTTATAGTGCATTTTTCACTAATTTGTGCTATATGTACTGTTTTTGCAGGATAAACTTCAGCTCTTGGCTGGGCAGCATGTGGATATCCTTGACACACTGTCACCCAAAGTCAGGGAACGCGTGGAGTTTCTCAGAGGCCTGCAGGTATGGTGTCTCCCCCCCCCCCCCCCCAAAAAAAAAAAAAGAAAAGATCCCGGGTGAAGTGGAGAAATAGGAAGAAGGTGGTGGGTCCCACTACGCTGAGTCCATGTGTAGAGGTGGGACCCGCTATTCTTACTATCTATGTCCATGCACCAAGATGAAATACTTTAGAGGGTATCAAATCTCAATTCTGCGAACTCTTGCTTTTCTTTATAGTGTTCGCTGTATCTAATAACCTTTACATAACTTTGGCTGAAGCTAATTCTTAAACCTTGTTTAAGTCTTTCTAATTGCTGTGGTATTTGTAGCTTCAAGTGTGTGTCTATATGACTATGAAGTTTGCATTCTTTAGTGAAGGAAGTGCTTTCTGTTTTTAGTGTCTTATGAAGATGGTGATAATGGAATCCAGCGTTCTTTACTCTTAAACAGATGCGTTAAGCCTCAGTAACATTTGACATGCCCTGCTTTTAAATTATTTCAGTCTCTTGTCTTGTCTCTATCCTTGTGGGTTTATTGCCTCAGTGGCAATTGCAGTGAATCAGCATGTAGCATCTGGTTTTGTTGTAATGGGGGCTATTTTTGTTTATGCTCCTGAATAGAGTCTATTTCCTCTGGCTTCTTTTAAAGAAGTGTCATTTTTCCATTAGTTAAGTGCTCGAACGAAAGTTTGTTCCTTTTTTACTTCGCAGAGCCAACATGATGAGCTGGAAGCAAAGTTTTTGGAGGAGCGAGCTACATTGGAAGCTAAATACCAGAAGCTTTATGAACCACTTTATACAAAGGTGCGTGTGCACTATTAATTGTTAATGAGTTTGTGGTCTTGTTTATCTGTCTGATGGCTTTCTGGATTTTGTAATTCCTGGCTTACGTTCTACAATCTATTTATCGGCAGAATTATGTATGCTCTTGAATTACAGTTATAGAAAATAATTTTTGTTCTCTTTGAATTTTTTGACTGTTGATATAGAGGTATGAAATTGTCAATGGCATAGTCGAGGTTGAGGGAATTACGGATGAAGCAGGGACAGATGAAGAGAAAGTTACGGAAGGTAACTCTTATGCTTTTGTTTTACTCATTCGGTCACTGGCATTGATGTTTAATACTATTCTGGATTTTCTGTGTAATCAGAGAAAGGAGTTCCAGGCTTCTGGCTAACTGCAATGAAGACCAATGAGACATTTACCGATGAGGTAGTGGAATTTGTTGTTTTTGTTTTTTTGTTGGTATGGTTTTCATCAACTGAAGCATCATCGAATTATAATTGATTGATTTCTTTTCTGGAGTAGATCACTGAACGTGATGAAGGAGCTCTCAAGTATCTTAAGGATATCAAGTGGAGTAAACTTGACGATCCCAAGGGTTTCAAGCTGGAGTTCTTTTTTTCTACAAATCCGTATTTTAATAATCCGGTTCTGACAAAAACATATCACATGATCGATGATGATGATGATCCTATATTAGAAAAAGCAATAGGGTAAGTAATATCACTTAATATTCTCATTTTTTTTACGTTGACATTCTATTCATGTCTTATGTTGTTTTACTTTGCAGAACCGATATTGAATGGTATCCTGGAAAGAACTTGACACAAAAGATTTTAAAGAAGAAGCCAAAGAAAGGGTCAAAAAATGCTAAACCTATCACGAAAACAGAAAAATGTGAAAGTTTTTTCAACTTTTTCCACCCACCCCAGATCCCTGAGGAGGAGGATATTGATGATGATGATGTAAGTTGCTGTGTTTATTTTATTGGATGTTGCAGAATTATTTTTAATAATAATTGCCTTTTATGTGTGCAATGATAGGTTGAAGAGCTTCAGAAGTTGATGGAACATGATTATGACATTGGGTAAGTGACTAGTACCTGCATGAGAGATGCCCTATTCCTCTGATATGAATGTGCAGCCTTTTGACTTATCTATTGGTCTCGTTGGCATCAGAATTTACTGATGTAATGATCATAGTTACGTCTTACATGCTTTTGCATCATTTGTAAATTGTTTCATTCCAATTGTATTTGCTGGGTGTCATGGGAGCAGAATGTGTTTACTGCATCGCTTTTCAAATTCACGACACTGGAAAATAAAAGCCTCTGCTTCATTTTGTTGATCTGATAAGGGAGTTAAAAATATTAGAATGTATAAATCATGATTTGACCAGTGGAAGGCATTGTTGGCTTTACAGAATCTCGTGATAATAGATGTATCCAAAAGAATCTTCATGGTGTTGTATTATTTTCTTGTCTTGAGTTTTGATTACCTTGGCGTAATATGCAGTTCTACAATTCGGGATAAAATTATTCCCCATGCTGTGTCATGGTTTACTGGGGAGGCCGTACATGATGAATATGAGGATATAGAAGCTGATGAAGATGATTATGAAGAAGATGAAGATGATGATGATGAAGAGGAGGAAGAGGAAGAAGATGAAGACCAGGAACAGGAAGGCAAAAACCGGAAGAAGGTACTGCTTGTTACTTATTTGTCCATGGAAGCGTTTGGTATGTTGTTATCTCACATTATTTGACATCTTGAATGCCGTGGTGTGGGATAACCAAGGTGTTACTTGATACTTAAGCTCATGTTTGATACGACGTTAGAAAGTTTGAATGGAAGGGATATAACTGGTGTCTTATAAAGGTTAAAAAGGTAAAAACTGGTATGATGTGTGATCTCATAGTTTTTTATTGGTATGGGATACCACTGAAAATAGTGTCCTCGTACGACCCTTTAGTATCTAGGATGACATACATCATTTTGAATCTCATTTACGGAACCTAAACATCTTGGACACTGCCTTTCAAGATGTTCTTTTTTTGTCCTTAACCATATTAATAGTTAAGATATCAATGTCAAGACAATAGGGCACTAAATGCTTCTTATGTTTCAATATAATGAGTACCTAAATGGGATGGATAATCCTACCCAAAAAGCTAGTTGTTGAGATGGGAGAACCAATCCATTTAAATACCTCATTGAACATCCCATTCTACTCTACATGGGATTTGGCATCTTAGACTATCAAGTCCTCATCAAAATCATTTATGTTTGATTAAGTTATGATCAATGTTTCGTGCTTTTTACCGCAGAAAAGTGGCCGGGCTAGGCCTGGAAAAGGTCAGCGAGGTGAACAGCCTCCTGAATGCAAGCAGCAATAGGGTCGGGGTTGCTGTTGCAGACATAGATAGGTCCACTGTCAATGGAGTAAATATATACTGTGGAAAGTTCTAGTTTACTTCGGTCAGAACTTACAAGCTACAATCGAAATTTTTATTGTGTGGTCTTTTTTAAGTTGATTTCTTGGGCACGTGATGAGGTTTTCTTGGTTCCCTTCGGTTTCGTTGTGATGTGGATTTTATTTCCATCTTCTTTGAAGTTAGAACTATTAATGTGTGCTTTGTCCATATGCGTTGTGTATTATACGACATTGTACAGATATTCTTACTTTACTCTGCTTATTCTACAAAAGTTCAAATTCTGTCAACTTGTCTGTATAAGAAAGAACAATAAAAGTCATACCCTTGGATCAGGGTACTTGAATGAGGAATCAGGCAACAGGTGAAATAGCAGCCACATGACACACGGCCCTATTATTTACTTTCCTGAAATTGAGGAAATTAGCTAAATGTTAAAAGAAATTTTAGAACTTTTCAAAATTACCCTTTGATTAGTATATTTTACAGGGGATATACTGACATGTGATGAAAAAGCTATTAAAAAGAGACTTGGCCATTTTTTAAATATTAGCTATAAATATTTCATATTTTGTAGGACCTTATAAGTACGAGGAAGAGAGTATTTGTTTCTTTTGTGGATAAATTTACTTGCAATGATGTTTCTTTCATCAAATTTTCGGGGTGGTAAAATGCGTTTTGTTTGAAGCGAAGTAAATTATGAGAGGCATTTCACTACAAAAATTTCTTTAACCTCAAAATATATTGAATATTTTTGTGACATTATTAATTTAATCATAATTATTCTATTTTTGTATTTTTCATGTGATGACATAGAAGACACTACTTCTATAAAATTATTATGTGTACTTAAACTTCTCGTTTTATTGTGATTAACAATCTTCAATAAAGGATATGAAATTTGCATGTCATGAGGTAGAGAGGGAATTGAAAAAAAAAAAAAAATTGAAGGTAGAACTATTAGCTTTTCTATATATATTTTTTGGGTACTATAATCTTTTCTTTTACGTTTGTTTGACCGGGTTACAACTTTGCTCTCAGTTGATATTATCAGTATTACACAGTTGTATTTTCTAATATGGCAAAGCGATAGATAGTTCTTTGAACATGATTTTCTAAAATAGACAACAAAATTTTTTATAGATAACATAATAGTATTTTATTATTCTGTGAAGTAAGTCAGTAACCCTCTTATTTTTCTAATTTAAGGGAACTAATTATATTTTGCTACTTTCATGGAGAGCTAATGGTATTCAATATTGACTCCAAAAAAAAAAAAAAGAAGACTCCTAACAAGATACTCCTCTAGTCCAATTTATAGGATAGAGAGAAGATATTTTTTAATCCTATTTATAGGGTAGTGAAAGAAATTTTTTGTATGGATATATAATTTTACCTTATACTCCTCCAATCTTTAATATGAGATCCAATTGTTAAGTTGGTTTTGATCCTAAATATAAGACCCATTTTTCATATTTATCAATTTTCTCTAAATTACTCCTATGGATACTCCCTCAACTATAATCAAGTAGGAGAAGAAGAGGAGATATTAAAAAAGATGATTGTGGTATTTTAGAAAAAACATGTCACGTCTTATAATTAACTAACTTACCTAACTTTCTTAATCTAATCAAATTAGTTAAATGGATTTTATATTAAGGAGCAGGGGAGTATTTATTATTGTGTTGACTTTGTTTACATAAAATATAATGTACATTAAATAGGGATTAAGTTAGAAACTTATTGAATTTTAAATGATAGTTAATGAAGTTTAAAGTTTCTATTAATCTGTGTGAAATATGTTAAAAATGACTTATAAATAGTAATAAATGAGTAAAGATGAATCAAAAAGATTTCATTGCAAGATTCACCCACTCCTTTGTAGCACTCATCATAGGATAGAGCTCGAGAGTCTGTCTATCCATCAAACAAAAATTTACATAGAATCATTGATTTGTCAGTAACATTTTCTCTTACGTTGCACGCGATCGAATTCTTTGTATCATTCATTGAAATGGTAAATGGTCTTACCTCCTCCGTAGAGAACAGAAAATAAATTCAAATTTCAGGAAGCACACCTATTGAAAGGGTTTTAATTTTAACACTCTCAATTCGACAGAAATTAGTCTTAAGGCTAGAGTGGCTTAAGGATACTATGAGTTATACCAAAAAAAACTTCCGCATACTATTCTTGTTAGTTTCTATTAACATGTGCTTTCTTCATACTCCGAGCACTCAACTTCGTTATGTTCACATCCACAGATCTATTATTAAAAGCAAAGAGGTTTGGTTTATCATTGATTGCCAAATCATTTGAAGCTGAATCCATTCCCTGAGAAATGGATCGGACAAGTTGGTGGGGTGGGTAAAGTTTTGAACTTTGACGAGAGGATGAGTCGATTCCTGTGTACAGAATAACTGGTTCGCCCCTAGAAACAGAAAGCACCGTGCTTGATCCTGACCAGTAGCCATTAGCATCGGACGGCTCAGATGGGAAGATCGCAGAATCCAGCGGGGTCCAGTTCACAAGATCATCTGATATTGAGTGGCCCCACACAATGCGGCCCCACAGATTTGACCAGTAAAAGAGATGATCTACTGATGATGCTTGTTCCTGAGTCCTTGCACTTCCCCACAAATACTGGGGAGACCATCTTCGAGTCCATTTCTTGTATCGTAGAGCAGAAGAATGTGTTCATCCTAGTGCAGTGATGATTGAATGAAGTCTCTGTTTGAAAACCAGAGTGGATTTATTACATAACTCAATTTGTTAAGCAACATTGGTTTCATCCAATTTCATATCCAAAAGCTAGAGAAAAAGATGATTTCTTTAAAGGGAAGTCACTGCTACAGCAACTATATTGCCGTTTTACTTCCCAGTATTAGAATTAACTTTACACAACTGCAGCTTTATCTATCAACAAAATTTCTACTAAGGTTTTGGTTACAAATAAAATATAACATTGCTCAAGTTTAGCACCTTAAATTAATTAAGATAGATTGGAGACAACAAAATGACCAAATGGAGATTTACAATCGTTATATTGCAACAAGAAATGTAAGAAACTTTCATAATTCTGAATAAATCTCATCCTCAATGACAGGATTATGTTGCTTGTTATGTTTAGGTATGTATCTTGTGTCTTTCACCAACCTACACCATGCTCTGTTCATACTCTGTAGTTAGACAATCATTTTTCCTACCTACCCTTCTTTCTCGTTTTGTCATTTGACAAATCTTCAAATTGCTCTGCTAAACATTTATGCATAATGTTCAAATCTCATCAAGCAACTCACTATTATAAGAATCCAATCCTTCTGTGGGCACTAAATAAGCAACTCACCATTTGATTTCAGTTAAAAGCAAAAAGCAGTTGATTTGGTTTGATGGGTGTGACTGATATTGTTTTGGTTCTGAACAAATTAAAGGCTAAATTCAATAGACATATAAATGTTGATGATTTAGAAGGGTGTCTTTCTATCTTGTCAAAACATAATACATCCTTAACATAAGAACTATTCAACTAATTTGATTAAATTACAAAAGCTAAATAAATTAGTTAGCTATAACAAATGTAACCTGATTTTTTTTTTTAAAATAACATAATGTAACATTAGATTATATATCAGTTTTTAAGTTAAATAAACTAGTTTGAGTAAAAAAGATAAATATAAGAAATAAAGTGAATTGATATCTTATACTTATGATTAAATCCAATCCCTTAACTAGCTCCTATACTAAGGATATGAGGGAATAACATAGTTATAGATGCACATAATATTAGACTGCCTCCTATGTAGACAGGAAAGCAGATTTAGGGGGTGTTTGGATAAGGCCAAACCATGGTTTGGAGAATAGCTTCTGGAGAATAGATTCTGAAGAAAATAGATTTTGAAAGAATAGATTTTCTGAAAAAGTGATTATGATAAAATGAGAGTGTTTGGATAATTGTTATCAGAAGCACTTTTTATATGTACAAATTACCAAAAAGGATATAAGTTAATATGATAATTACATAAAGAATAGATTTTATAATATATTTTAATTTGAATAATAAATTTGTTAATAATATTTTTTTCTAACATAATAAATAATATATGACAAAAAGTAATTAATAAATAATTAATATGTATAGATATATTTATAAAATATAAAATTTAATATGTTTATAAAAGAATGATTATTTTGTTCTCCAACAAAAAAAAAAACTCATCAATAATTCCCATTTCCTCTTCTCCATCGTGACCCCTCATTCCTCTTCAACCAGTACGCCAGCGAAGCTCGTTTCTTCGGCTTGGCCTTTCGCCATTTTCTCTAACCCAAATGCCTCTTCCATCGTGACCCCTCATTCCTCTTCAACCAGTACGCCAGCGAAGCTCGTTTCTTCGGCTTGGCCTTTCGCCATTTTCTCTAACCCAAATGCCTCTTCCATCGTGTCCTCCTCCTTTCTCTTCGACTGTGAAGCAGTTACTGATCTAATTTCATATCTGAAAATCGCACACCACAAAACCCCAATTCAATCAATGACGATGTGGGAGACGAGGTTCAAATGGTAATGGCTATAGATGAGACGAGGCTCGGATTTAGATGTTTTGTGTGCTGCAGCAAAGCTTGATGGAGGAGAAGAAGCAGAACAGGACAATCATGGAGGAAACGAGGTTCAGATTTGATGGTGTTGTGTGCTGCAATGAAGCTTGATGGAGGAGAAACAGTAAAATGGTGACAGTCATGAAGGAAGGGAGCTGCGATTGAGGTTGGGGACGATGGAGGACGGTGAAGGAATGGGAGAACAGGCGAAGCTTGTGACAATTCTCATGGGTGTTTTGGTCAAATATCACTCCAACGGTTAATTTCTTACTCTCAAAAGCAAAAAATTCTGGCTTCTTTGCAAACCAAGGTTTCAGCAAGCAAAACCTTGGTTTTGACCCAAACCAAGGTTTTAAGAAAAATGTGGGTGTTTGGATGTCAGCTGACTCAAACCATGGTTTGAGGCCCATAATCACTTTTCTCCAAATTGCCAAACACCCCCTTAGTGTGTTCTTCATGATGAAAATATGAACCCCATTATTATTGAGACTTGCCTTGCATAGGTCACTACATTACATTTAGCTCATGAACCACTTTTCCCTTTCCATCTAACTACAAAGCGGAAGCAAGTACTTTATGGTTCTTCATTAAACTTTGGATGGCCAACATTGAGAACTAATCGCTGTAACAAATAATGAGTTAAATCTAGAATGGGGTCATCAGTCACTCATTACCACATGTTTTCGTCTTTTTTTTTTTTTATAAGAAAAGGTTTAGGTGAGTTGGGTCATCGGCTCACTAAAATCAAAACATGTCTTCTA